ATAATAACTTTCATCATTTATCCAAGTTCACAGAGTTTCCGGAGGCAAGCTATTACGGAAGTGGATGTCACTCCTGCTTCTAAGCTGGTTTTAATCGGGGAGCTCCACTAAACACTGTCCACTATTAGGTAGGGGCTGTATAATTATTTCTATTTTGAGAGAAGTGAAATTTCATCTCAGAAAAGTTCAATGACTTCCTCTGTTCATCTTTGAGACTCCTATTCAGGAATTCATTCGAAGGTTTCGAAGGTGTTTGAAGGTGCAGTTATCCAAGGCAAATTAAGCATAGTAGTAATGGAGCTCTGTACAGGTTTCAATGGACACCATCCCTGCCAGAAATTTTCTCAGCTGTCATTGAGACAGCCTCCAACTCATAGTCACACAATGTGGTTGGACTGTTGTGATCCACAGGGGGTTGGGTTTTTGGTTTTTGGCATTTTTTTTAACTGGCAGCTTTTCTAAAGCATATTGCTAAGCTTCCCCACCCCCTAGTTCATCTTAGTCTGGAAGCTCCATTAAAAGCTTTTAGAATTCCAGCAACACTTAGGCTTCCTTGACAGACAGGTGGTGGCTGTGCTTGGAATGCACTGGCCAGGAACTGAACCTGGGTCTCCCATAGGAAAGGCAAGCATTTTACCCCTGGAGCACCACTGCTCTCCTAGAAAACAATACCAGGACCTTAGAGGTCATCCAGATGAGAAGGGAAACATCAGAAAAATTGCTTCCAGGTCTCGCTTGCGGGTTTGTTTTTTGTCTTTCTTTTTTGTCTTGTTTTAGGCCCCTTCATTTCATGGTAGACATATGAAATATTTCAGATTAGATACCTGATACTATCAGTCAGAACTGATAGAAAATTCCAACCAAGCCCACTATTGATTGGATTCCAACTCGTAATGACCCTAGAAAACATTGTAGACATGCTCCATAGGGTTTCCAGGGTTGTGATCTTTACAGAAGCAGATTGCCACATCTTTCTCCTGCAGACTAGCCAGTGGGTTCAAACTGCCAAGTGTGGGGTCAGCAGCCAGGTACTTGATCTACCACAGCGCCAGCAGGGCGCCTTAGAGCTGCTAGAACAGAGAGCTGCAAAGTCTAAGCTGCAGGCACCAGTGTGCTTCAGAGCTGAGGCTTCTTACGCTTGTACATCTGTGAGAAACAAAGAAGGTGGGGGAAATGTCTGCTTTCCAGAAAAGGTCTAGAGAATGTGATGATAAATGAACTAAGCCAGTTACAAGATTGTACAAGATTACTATTATAAAAAACTAAAGAATGGCTAATATGCAGGTAGATAGATAGAGATAGATAATAGACACTTATTAAAGTTGAGTAAAGGAAAAGGCAATACACAACAAGTGGATGATCAGGCACTGGGGATTGTAATTAGTGTTATAAAACAAAATGTGAAGTAAATGATTGAAAAACCAATATGCTTTGTAAACTCTCACTCAACGCATACTAAAAATGTAATAATAATAATAATAATAATAATAATAATAATAATAATAATAAAAAAAGATCCATTAGGAGCATACAAGAAAATGAGTGTAGCAGTAGCATGAACGTCGAGGAGAAGGACGGCCTGGCATTTCCCCTGCTGGCTGTAACACCTTGGTATCTGCATTGTGAGTGACCATCCGGTACACACCGGCAGGGGTGGGGGTGGATGCTGACCAGCAAGCTGTTCCAGGTAGGCCAGCTATCTTGCACCATGTCTGCCTCTCTACAAGTCAACACTATGTCTATTTCCGGTTATTTGCATTACCATTTGGTATCTGGACCCATTGTCAGTGGACACGGTTAGCTTTTTAAAGAAGATATCCCTACTGTTCTGTCCTCAAAAAGAAAAAGAAACACATTTTTCAAAAGACATTTTCTGAAGGCTTTGTTTCATCCCCCTTTCCTGTCCTAGTCCTGTCATGCTTGTGACCAGGTAGGGCAAGGTGGGAAAATAAACTCCTGGTAACTAGAGAATTACAGAGCGCCCTCATTTACCTATATTAGCAATTCAAAGGGTATGCAAGCAGTAAGGATGCTGGAGAAGGTAGAGGGTATGAGTGTTTGGGGTCGGGGATGCACCAAGATAAGCCTTGAGGTCAGAGACTACTGCACTAAGGCAGACTAGGGGGGCGTGCCAAGGGGGTGAAGAACCAATTGAAAAAAAAACAGATTTGTCCTGGAGAGGGTTAAACCAGGTGGCTCCTTGGAAGCAAGGATTCTGAGGCTCCGTCTCACATACTTCGGACATGTTGTGAGGAGAGACTGGTCCTTAGAGAGGGACATCATGCTTGGGAGGGTGGAGGGACGGCGCAGGAGAGGAAGGCCCTCTATGAGGTGGATTGATTCAGTGACTGGGATAATTGGGATGGGAGTGTCAGAGACAGTGCGATTGGCACAGGACAGAGCGGAGTTTAGGGCTGTTGTACATAGGGTCACTATGAGTCGCAAGCGATTCGACGGCACATAACAACAACATCTGGTCCCAGAAAGATGAGCCAAGAACATTCTATGGGCTAGTTCTACTCTACCACACGGGGGCGCTCTGAGTCGGGATTGACCCTTCAGCACTTAAGAAGCTAAGATACCCGAGGAATTGTTCTTGACCTTGGACCCCAACGGTAAAATCCATCCTTGCCCATTGGAGTTTTCATTCCAATGAGAAGTGGAGAAGTAAGAAACAGAAAAATCCATTATGTAGGATGTTGGTGGGTGATAAACTCTGTGAAAACAGGACGAAATAGGGCAGATCCTGGGGACTCAGAGGCCAGGGCAGGGGCCTCCCACTTTCACATCAGCCTTCCAGAGGTGCTTTGGAGAAATGACATTTGTGGAAAGACAGTGGGGTGAAGCAATGATTGTGCAAATGTTTGAGGGAAGAATAGAACAGTCCAGCAGAGGGAACAGCCATTGCAAAGAGCCTCAGTTGAGAGAATAGCAGTCCAATATGAACAGCAAGGAGGCCAGTGTCGCTGGAACAGATGGGGCAGGAGAAGGCAGAGCTTAGTCTAACAGACCCAGGCCTTTGGGACTGTTGTAGGGGTGCAACTCTAGATCTCAAGAGAATGGCTCAGTTTTGCAGAGTTTGGATCCAGCAAGTTACTTTACCTGAGCACGTTGAAGAAAAAAAAAATCTCTTTGTCTGGTGCGTTGAGAATAGACTGTGGCATGAGAAAGAAAAGATTTCTCTTTTGAAAACATGTGCCTTATATGACAGGGTTGCTATGAGACTCAAATGCAAAAGCGCTTTAAAAATGCAAAAGCACCATGCAGAACCAAATGAGAATTATTTTACAGAGACAATAGGGAGTTCACAAGCCAAGGTCCCCTGGCTGCCTCTGATCCATGAAATGATAGTTCATGTGCAAAAAAACCTAAAGGAATATTGGTTCCATTTGCTCAGGGAGGGGGGGGGAAGGGAAACATTCTACTTGTGAGCTTTAAAGGAGTTTGATTTTGCAGATTGCAAATTATTGTATGTTTAATTTTTTAAAGATTTTTTAAAAAAACTTTTAAGTACCTGGCTTGAATATGAAAGAATTGAAAGCCAGCAGCCCAGTATGAAAGGAGCAGAAGTCTGGGAACTTTAAACCCATTCCCTCCCCCTCCCAGGCCCCATGGAGAGCTAGCTGCGGTGGCTCGCTCGCTCGCTCCTCCAACATTTCGGGGGTGGCATCTTCTCTTTGTGGTCGCCCTGCTGGCGACTGAACGCTTGCTGGGTGGGAGTCACACGTTTTGGGAGACCAGCTGACCTTCAGAGAGGCTTGGGGGGGGATTTTGCAAGGATTTTGGAGCAAAGGCCCCAAGGCATCTCCTAGAGAAAGGCGAGGGGCTTGGGGGAGACAGAAATGAGTGGATGAAGAGGTGGGCTCTCCAAGGTAATTCTGACCAGGAAGGGGTGGCAGTGCTACATGGCTGCAAGTTGGAGTTTACTCTGCTTAAGGTGAGTGTTGACGTTTCTGTGTTTTTGTTTTTCAGCCAAGCATTGGTTTTGTGTTTTGTTTGTTTCCTTCCTCACCTGCCCTCAATACGAAAAAGCAGCTAGCTCTGCGGGCTGACACCCGAGACCCAGTCTCGTCCCTTCTCTAAGTCTGAGCCCCCTTCAAGTCAGTCCTCCCCACCTCACCCCACACCCCTCCCCCGCGGGCAGCTGGGACCCTCTGCTCTTTGATCTCCCGTCTAGTTAGAAGCAGCTGGGGTTGTCACCCCCTCACCCCCTCCCGAGGCTCTCATTCGAGGTGTTTTGATTGCACAGATACCCCCCTGGTGCTGCTGTCCTGAGACACACCTTCCCCACCCGCTGCGGGCACGTCTCGCCCCAGTGGATGTGGGGAGGCAGTGGGAACTCTGGGCTCTCCAGATGGCTCCCGCCCTGTTGGCCATCTCCTCCTCTCCCTGGACCTGAGCCCTCCCACCACCACCCGCCCTGCTGCTCCCCAGAGCCTTTGGGCAACCTGCGGTGGGTGGCCCGGCCCTCCTCCAGCCTGGGGAGGACGGGAGTGGCATTCGCGGGCCCCTCGGTGCTGGAGACGGGGGAGCCTCTCGGGAGGCACACAGAGCGGGTGACAGGAGCGTGCGCCCCCTCCCCGGGTGGTGGGGGTGGGGAGCGGAGCGCGGGCTCGGGCAGGAAGGCGGCGAGGAGGCAGCTGCAGTGCCGAGAGGGGTGCGTGCGCCGCGCCAGCTGCCTGCCGCCTCCCAGCGCATCT